TCTTTGTCATATTCAAAGGTTTGATTTTGAGCTCTCTTCGTTGAAAGAGACAGAAACAGCATGCATCGAATCACCTTGTTTCTTAAAGGATTGTTTTGGTCGGAAACTTTTTTTGCTCTTCATATCCCATGGGACGTGATCTCTGCGTGCTATGGTCCACCAGTTGTCCAGACAGCACGTGTTCGACCCAGCTCCTGGTTCTTGGATCTTTAGTCGTTGAAATGGTTAATAGTTTTAGTTCCTTCTCTCACCTACTTTAAACGAAATACTCAAAGCAATCACTGGGATAAAAGTGCGTCCAGTTATTCTGTCAATTACCGTGTTTAAGGGATTCAGGATTCCTATGTTAGACTAGAGAGGATCATGTAGTCAAAGCGATGGAGTTGAGGATAGGTGTTCTTTGTGTTTTTCGCTGTATCATTTATACTCGTGTATGCTCTACAAGTAGCCAGGTTCCTTAGTTTTCGGCCCACCTTTTGAGCAGAGCTGTACATATTTTGATTTCCCAAGTTAGATGTATGTAGCTGAATCGTTCGGAGTTCTAGAGTTCTATTGAGCATGATTCCAGTCAATATTTGCTTCACCTGGTTGTTCGTTGCCATTATAAAACTCAAATCCCGTACTGGTTTTCGCATGGTATTATAGAATGGCTGGGAATATTCTAACGATATACAACTCCAATTCAGAGCTCTATACTTTTTAGATGTTAATTTGTTGGTGAGATCGATGAGTAATGAAGTTCTTGTGACGTTTCTGCATTGCTGGATCGTTCTGTGCTAAATGGTGATGCTGTTGCTGTGCACAGCTTCCATGATCGCATCTGCGTCAACCGAGTTGAAGGCATTCCCTAATCGATGAAAATAAAACTCGTTGGCATTCAGTATTCATGGCAAATTTCGTTATGGATGTGTCAGATGTAATCTCTTGCACTGAATGATTTTCAAAACGTTCATGCATGATAGTCGTGCGTTCAATATTCTGTCAGTCTACAGAGGATGGTGAGTTCCAGGTAGAGGTTGTGGCGGACCCCCTTCCGAACATCTGCAGCTCCAGCCTACTTATGCTTTCCTCTGCTTAGGACATTTTTTACCACCTTTGCACATAATTTCGCAAGTCTGAATGTACGTTCGTGATTGTCTACGGCTCGAGCGGCCACTATTTGTCATATTTGCATGAGTCTTTGGACACAAGTGTATTTCCCGTTTTTTTCGAAATTTGAATAGTCTGCTAAAATCCGGCCAAAGAACTAAACTTCCATATCGTTTGGCTTTGAGACTTTTTTTTTGTATTTTACAACATTCTGTACTTTTTGCGGAGGAAAAATTCGCAGTGACTTTGTGGAAATTAGTGACAAAAGTGGCATCTATCTGAGCCGAGAATGTAGACGATATCCGAGAAAGTCTCTTACGATGAAATTTCAAGATGACGCTTTCCACTACATAATGTCCACGGCCAATGGCTAGAAGACCAGCTGTAGCTTACTGTAATTGGTCCGATCGTCGTGACGAGTCCGAACAATCTCTCACCCTATTTGTTCGATTTCTATGCATGGGTGTCGATATGAAGTTTTTCAGATGTATTTATGAAGGCAATCTTAGCGTCGAAAGTAAACTGTGATTTTTCCTGTGGAGCCTCTCCAAGTTCGCATGGACTCTCTGTTTGCGCCGCTTTGTTCGCATTTGCTCATTGTTAGCCTTTAGGGGAAGAAAACCGCGAAAGCAAGAATTGATCTATATTTTTCCTTGAGCATTAGTTCGCTTTTCTTTTCGTTATTTGTTCAAGAGAATCGGTGTTCACTGAGTTCATACCGAAATCTGCGAGCTCATCTCGTTTTTGAGCAGTTCTTCTCCGCTATCACAAATGGCGTTTCCACTGCCTTTTCTGCAAAAGATGTCGGACTCGGTTTTAGTCTGCAGGCTGTCATTGGAGAATTCCTATGTTGACATGAGTGTGTTGTAAGTACAAATAATTACCGTAACCTTACATAGAGAAATGGGACACTTCGTTATCACCGTTTTTATCAAAAAATTCCATACATTTGATTTTCGGACATTTTCAGAGTGTGCATGAAGGAGGTAAACCCCGCCAGGGCGAAACCTCTAAGACATTCGCATGCATTTTCCAGTTTGGAAACAGGCCAACGTTCTTGATGCGACCAGCCGTCGATCTCTTAGCAAGGGAGATCTGTAGCAGATTCTAAACATGTGTTATGGTTGTCTTGTTTTACTGATGAGATTACTACGGGGTTTTATAGAAATGTTTGTTATAGCAACAGTTTTGACGCCATCGCGTTTTTCAAAGTGGACATCATTCGAATCAAGAGTCCAAATCATTGCAATTGGCAGTAGTGATCTTATTCTGAACGGGCGCATGTAGCGCGGTCGTCGGCGATCCCTGCGCGTAAGACTCATTAAGCTTTCATCATCCTTTCGGGGTCGGCAAATTGGTACCAGAGTTTTCTGGAATGAAAGCAGCACTGCTTGATACATCGGTAGATCATGGCGAGTATTGTAAAGGCTAGACGTGCATTCAGTCACCTCCAACGATACTTAATGAAGTCGAATGCATGGTGCATCCCTCAGCGATTGATCAACGCCAATAGCTTTTATCCTTTATCCTTGATCTAATTCTGAAGAACACGATGGTTCCAAAGCGTCAGGCGCAATGAATTTTTTGCTATAGCCCTGTGTAAACATATTAATAAAACAAGATGTTGATTATTGATGCCAAAGTTAAATAGAAATCATTCTTTAGAAATATCTTATGTTTACCATCCATTCATTTATTAGGAAAGATCTGCGTTTCAAAACTATGAAGTTTAAGAAACTACTGCGGTTCTGGGCTAATTACATTGTCAGTGTGAAAACTAAGATTAAACGTGTGATAATTTTGCCTAATCTCCCTATGATCTCAATATCATGCAATTCCTATGTTGATGGTTTATTTACTTACAGCGTACTTGAATAGTCCTTCCTTACTGGTTGTGCAGGCCCCAGCATAATCTCCATTTTTCGGAGATTTGCTGGTTGAGCCATTGTGGTTCCCTAGAATCCCGAGATCAGCCTGGCCAAACCCAGGTCTTCATCACCATAGGCAGTCGCAGCCCTTGTGAATCAGGGAGATTTGCCACCATGCGACTTTGATACCAGGACGGTGGTGGATCTTGGTATTGGTTTACTCTTAGCTTGGCTTCTTGATGGAAACCACGGACTCCTTTTCAGCTTAGGAGACCCTGGCAAGGGTATGTTTCCTCCCGCTATAAATCGCGGCCCGACACCCAGGAACACCTCCCAGCCACGATGAGGCGGTAAACCATTGGGAGGAGTTGATGGTATACCGTTTTCATTTTGTCTTGCTTACTATGAAACCATTTTACTAGTGATATTTGTTTTGTACAAGTAGTGTATAAAGGTCAAAACGGTTTCCCCGAATTGCGCTATCTGATGCAGTTTATGTGTAGACTATGCAGCTTATATAACAACGCTATATCCTAATATAGCACTAATGAGAGAACATTTGGGCGCCATCGTACTGACTCTGCTTACTCAAGTTGCGAGTCTGAGCAGCTTTATTAGCAATGCTTCAATTCTTGAAAGCACTGTTTTTTAAGTGTTCATCTCTTCTTGCTCTCTTATTTCATATTGTAGCATTCAATTTTTAGGCTCTACTTTTACTAAGCTGTGTTAACGGCGTCGAACGTTGTGCACGCTCATAATAAAAAAGGGTAGAGCTCACAGCATTGATCAAACCCTAAAGGTTGCGCCATACATTCGAGTTCACTAAGCACCGTTGAAGGTGATTGGATACATATCCGACCTTTACAATGACTTGCAGTAGGCCTACCGATGTATCGAGCTGGTTTTACTATCCTCCCAGACTAGTATGGTACCAATTCGCCGACCCTGGAGGAATAGAAGGCTTGGTGAGCCACGGGTGCGGGAGTGGACCCCATGTGAATTGCAGGGCGCTTCCGCTCACTGACCTACACGCGCCCTTGCATGGTCATAGTCCTAATTAACCATGCATTGAAGTTATTGTATTGATATTCCTATGTGAATTGTAATGCATAACTTTAGGAGTGCATTCTGTGAAGGCACTCATCATCACGAAACTTTCATGACGCATTACACTCCATGTTCCATTTATCATTGCTGTACTCTCCCTTTCGCTAGAAATTGGACATTATTTTGATGCTGAGTCAGGAGCTCGCTGTTTTAAAGTTTTTGAGCTGCTTAGTTGTGAAGAAGCAGCGTGATGATTCACTAGGTGGCGGAATGGTTTTTAAGCGTAGGCGAAATGAGCTTGTTTTGAAGAGCAGAGAAGTTCAAACGATGTAATCTCTATGTTAACTTTTTATTTGTTGCCTACTATAGTTTTTAAGGGCAGAGTATGATGCGAAATACAGCCATAATGGTGCTGAGATATTTGCAAAACTCCGAGCCACAAAACATATGTTCTAAGTCGCCCAGAATGGGTAGTAGCGTTTTCGTTCCCGACTGCGGACATCTGCGATCCGGTGTTTTGCAAATATTTCAGCATCACTGTGAATGTAATCTGTGTTTGTGATTTGCCAGATCCACATATAGTTTCTGTAGACATGCGGACACTTGTTTATATGTGCTTCCTTCGAGGTGCAAAGTATGTCAATCGATTACTAAGAAGTACATTGTAGGTGGTTTGAGCTACCTGCAGCAAAGAAAGCTCCACCTTAGCAGGTCCGGAATCTAGAACTACGGTGACGATTTGTACTTGCAATACACACGCACTTGGAAAGTGCGATTGAAGATTTAATAATGAAGACGGAGAGACACCGTGCATTCACTACACCCCGTTTGCGATTCTAGAGAAGAGCTGTTTCTCCGATTACTCGGTAATAGTGTAGTAAGTTGTCGTAGAGTGCGGCGACATTTGAGTGACTAAACACCACGGTTGCAGTATAGTGCATCTTCTCTTGAACTAGTTTTAGATGCCCTAATCTGGATTTTTTATTATTTTAGGTGATGGGATGTGGCACATCCATTTCACTGTCGGTGCTTTTTCCGATTACGTACGTTGGCCTATTGCATATTGTCGACCACAATGGTAAAAACCGCAACGATTTGCAGTCGATACGTAGGCGATTCATAGCTGCTGGTCTTAACAACATACTTTTAATTGCTGTCACGTATGTTGTATTATCCCAGGTACTGTTTTTATTCTAGTTTAATGCGGCATTTTTGTAGTATGGTTTCTTACATCTTGTAATCTATATTTCATTCTAAACCAAAGTTGAGCGGCCGCTTGAGAGCGGCAGGAAATGCATGTCTACTGAGTAGGTATTCATGGCGGGTGTGCGAACTTCCTTGAATGGTCCGTCCTCACTGGTTGTGTGGGCCCTAGCATAATCTCCATTTTTCGGAGGTTTGCTGGTTAAGCCATTGTGTTTCCCTGGAGTCCCGAAGTTAGCCTGGTTAAAGCCTGCCACAGATCACCACTACAAGCAGTCGCAGTCATTGAGGATCAGAGAGAGATTTACCACCATGCGACTTTGATACCAGGACGGTGGTGGATCCAGGTATTGGTTTACTCTTAGTTAGGCTTCCTGATGGAAACGCTGGACCCCTTCTCAGCTTGGGAGACCCTGCCAAGCGATGAATCCGCCGCTGTACATCGAACTCCGACACCCAGGAATACCTCCCAGCCACGATGAGGCGGTAAACCGTTGGAAGGTAGATTAGTTCAAAATATTGAAACTAATTGGCACATTTTTCATCGTTTAGATGTTTTCCATTTTTAGCGAAATGATCCATTCCCATTACGTTCTATGGGATTTCGAACTAATGGCGTTGTGGCTGCAATTATTCTTCCTTCCATTCTTGTCAGTGTTTTATACACAGGACAGTGGCTTATGATATATTTTGATGGACAATTACGCCGAATAGTTTGTAAGTTACACATGTTTCCAAAATACGTAATCATTTATATTATAGAAGTGACCGACTTCTAAAATGAATTGATGGAGAACGGAACGTCCTTCCCCTTTATAGCGAACTTTAATACTTGGATAGCCCCTCTTCACTGGTATTGCGGACCAGAGCAAAATTCCCATTCTTTCGCTCTCGTGCAATTATCGGGGGTGGCCTGCTTCGAACATGGCGACGTCCGCTAAGTCCACTCTGTAGTTTTAAAATCGTGCCCACCTGCGAACAAGGTTGGTGACGTTAGGTGAGAAAACGTCCACTCGTCGTTTGGGTGGGTGGCATTTCAAGAGGACATTTGCTACAGAGATTCCTGCGGTAACCCTAGTGCGCGACGTCCTCCACTACTCTTGGATTTTCTTCTGAAATCAAAATGTCATGTAATCCGAAAGATTTGTGTAGAAACTTATTGTCATCAACTCATGTCATGGCGAGATGTGATGATAGGTCCTTTTCCATCAGAGTCGCTAGCAGAACACTTTAGTGGCACAGATTCCGGAGATATTCCTTCCGGCTACATTGTTTTTTAGCTGCTTCCTATAACTTTTTTGACCTATACCAATATGACGGATCTCATTCGCAGCGAGATCTCATGCCGGTCAGTCGCCAGATAGTGAGGCACGTCCCCAGGTGGCGGATAGGACGTTAATCGCGGACCAAAAGTAATCTGTGTTTCCTTGAGACGCGGGTAGATCTAGGGTGTGGACATTCTTTCTACTGCGCCGACTTAGCACATACCTTCTATGTTTGCGAGGACGTATTCATGCATGCGTTCGTATGTATGTTCTCGTTTATAGAGATTGTATTCTATAAGTCAATTTGGCCAAAACCCTGCAATGAAGTGGTAAGGAAATATATGGGAAGCGATTGGGAGTCACCTCTAACAAATAAAACCATAGTCTACTCTGGCCGAGACATGAAAGCTGCCTATGTGTATATCCAGCCTTCACGTTGACAGCTTAGCAAGCTATATTTGGGTACCAAGTGACAGATACTGGTAAGTGGGCCCCATTCTCCTGACCTTAAAAGAGCCCCTGAAACCGCACCGATTGGGTAGGATGAGTACGGGGAGGCTCCCAAAATCTCAGGGCCATTCTAGGGAGCCTTCCTATACCTGCATTGTACCCGCACTACATTTAAGTCTTCGATAGCAGACATGGTCATGCAAGCAAGAAGGATAAGCTACGTCATCGGACTGGATGAGTGGAGACTACCCATTCAACGCCTTCTTTGACACCGTAGAAAAACTGTTTCTTAGACAGTAACAGTAACATGTAACAGTAGAACTGTCGGCGGCGTAGGCCTTCTCGTCAGCACGAGTTTAGCTATGAACATCGATTCATTTGAACAACTAACAACCCAAATCGGACGTTTACGGTTGAAGAGATGTGGATCAATACAGGCGTCGACAATCTTCGTAGTTTATGCACCGACATCAGTGTGTGACGAAGAAGAAGTCGGAGCGGTCAACATGGATTTGGAGAAATTCTGTAGAGAATACCGTGCATTTTTGAAGGTTATCATTTAAGATTGTAACGCTTAGATTAGACCAGAGCTCGAGAGATCGAGCTCAGTTGGCTATGTGGATTCGCATGAGCTACAGGCAAGTCTCACTCATAACTCATATTGTAAAGCAATGAAGACAGGCGATATAGGAAGACCTTAACGAGAGTAGAGTAGCAGTTATGGTCGCAGATGTAGAGGTTGAGGAAAATATTCGCAAACCCCGTTGAAGCCTCGCGAACTACAAACTAAGGTGATTGCACTCCGACAACCAGACGGAACAGTTACAGCTTCCAGAAAAGCAAACTATAAAATTATTGACGATTACTCCTAACACCTCTTCAATACTCATGTCCTGCTGTCCTCGTGTAAAATGATGAGGAATGGATATGTAGTAGTTCTTCTTTCCGAAATCCGACATGCTGTTTCGTCGATGATGAATCGAACAAGACCGGGACCGGGCAGAATAAGATCAAACACCTAAAGGACGTTGCCAAGTCCTCATAAAGACACTGGCTCGGATCTTAACACGTTACCTCTCAGAATGTAAGGTTTCTACTTAGTGCAAGACCAACAAGACTGTGTTGTTGCTTAGAAGTGGTGATCTCCATGGTATTGGCGACAGTTACACAATCTGATTTCCGTCTATCGTCAATAAACATTGCACTGAAGTCATCCTAAACAGGACTGATAGAACACTGGACAAAAGGCAGCCATGTGAACAAGCAGGTTTTCGAGAATGATTCAGTACGATGGATCACAACCATACGACAGCAAGATTCATTTTAAAAAATATCGCGAGAGTACAATATATCGTCTTGTCTCACTTTCGTCGATTTAAAGAAGGCCTTTGACTTAGTTGAGATAACAGCTGTTATGGAAGGCCCGGTCGGTTATGGAGTTCCTACTCATTAAATAAGGATTCTCTGTATAAAAATTTCACAACTAAGATATCATCATTCTCCAACGATGTTAACATCTACGTCAAAAGAGGAGTTAGGCAAGACGATACAATTTCGCCAAAGTTATTTACCCCCACCCTCGAGAACGTCATGTAGAATAGAATAGAACATATTGGAATAGAACCAAGCGGGAGTGAAAATCGATGGTGGCTAATTACACCATCTTCGCTTCGCTGATGACATCGTGCATTAGCCAAACGAAACGTTAGTGCATTAGCCGACTTCGCCAACGCCAATGGAAAGGTTGGCCTTTGACCTAGTTTCACAAAAACGATGTTCATGAGGAACGAAATGGTTTCATATGCCACATTTACGCTCAACGGGACGAATGTCTTCGAGTGCTCCAGTTTCGTCTATCTAGGTTGGGAGATCAATACGATGAACGACTTAGCTCCATAGTTGAGCAGGAGGATGCGAGAGGCTTGGGGAGCTTTCAAGAGCATGGAGGATGTGATGAAGAAAACAAGGAACACCCAACTCCTTGCTTTCTTTTCTCCTCCACAGTTTTTACTGGCTTAACATATACGTCAGAAACCTAGAACTTTTCAAGAGGGAAGTTCTGTGTACACCTTGCCACTAATTTAATACCAAAACGACGGTGATATCTGGGGTCGTTTCACTTTTAGCTGCGTTTATGAGTTGAAACACCTTGTTAATTTATGATACTCAGTTGCAGAGGTAAATTTCCGCTGTATATCGCAGTCCGACACCCAGGAAAACCTCTTAGCCACTGTGAAGAAATAAACCTTTGGGAGGAATATACCTTACATCGTCGACCCCGTAAGGCATTCTCTGAATATGTTATCGCCATAGAAAGTTAAATAAAACGTCTCATACGAAAAATCATATTTCTTCGTATCCATCGAACGAGGGAGCACATTGTGCACCTCAAACGCATAGCAATGGCGGGACTTATTGGTGCCTGTTAGAGTTCTTCGGTTGCTGGAGGGTTTTTATTTAAATAACTCGGCAACAAATATTACATGGATTCTAACACTTCTACCGTTCGATTCCTTTGTTCGCATTCATCATCCTCGAAGAATTTGCGTATGTTCGACAGCTATTCATTGGGGATTTTAGTAATCCTTACGGATGTCGTTTAATGCTATCCATGATTGATATAAATTGATAAAATATGTTTGATAAGTGGTATATGAGAAGGAGACATTTTCTAGATGATGCGATGTTGGTACAGGTCATCGTTGTCGTTGTCGTTGTTGTTGATATTATTGGTTGATGGCTGACGTTTCGGCGACTTCGCCTTCTTCAGAGCCTGGGCGTATTTTATATCAGAACATTCTTATTATTCGGTGGAGAAAAGGTTAAAGTATTAATAAAGATCAATACTTTTAAAGAGACGCCACACTGAATAGAAAGGCCACTCACCGTGATGTTACGTGTGGGACCGGCCCACGCGTTGTTTACATGGGCTCGCGAGCAAGGCACACCCCGGAGTCAAAATATCATTTTGAAATAGGGTGCCAGGTCACGCTTGTTAGTGGGGCATTCGTCTTTCCGGTTTATCTTAAATCCGTTAAAACACTCCTCTAGGTAGGCATAGGGCACAAAGCACAACGGCGATAATTTTGAAATGTCTGTGCAGATCCTAGCGCAAGAATCAACAACATCAACGCGCAAAACTCTTGAGGCGTTTTGGATAAATTTCAAAAATCCAAAAAGATGAACCGGAAAGCCGAATGCCTCACTTTCACGCGTGACCTGGCACCCTATTTCAAAATGATATTTTGACCCCGAGGTGTGTTTTGCTCGCGACTCCACGTAAACAACGCATGGGCCGGTCCCACACGTAACATCACGGTGAGTGGCCTTTCTGTTCAGTATGGCGTCTCTTTAAAAGTATTGATCTTTATTAATACTTTAACCTTTTCTCCACCGAATAATAAAAATGTTCTGATATAAAATACGTCCAGGCTCTGAAGAAGACGAAGTCGCCGAAACGTCAGCCACCAACCAATAATATCAACAACAACGACAACGACAACGAAGACCTGTACCAACCTCGCATCAACTTAAGAAGATCAGTTTATAAGATCATATAAATAAATATATCAACCGTCTATGCCGAGGTTTATAGAAAGTCGTTCTTTCGAGTTATTTTTTAGATGTTTGAATGTTTGCAGGCCAATTTCATTTGATCCAAATTTATGCAGCTGTTGAGTAGCCATGGATCTACGTTGAACATTTCAGACGACAGACCACAGTATTCTGTTCTTCGGAATATGTAACCATCCATAGTGGTCAAAAACGAATAAATGGACTCTCACAAAAGCCTTTCATAGAAACATTTACCAAAGTGGCAGTGTTGGGGTGGGGGATTGGGAGTACGGTACAATAGCTAAGATTTCAATGCCTGCACAGACTACTAGTATGAAGAGGAGCCAAAATGACAATGTGTGCTTCAACACAAGAATTCCAAGCGTTAGGGTTGTCTAATTTTGATAACATATCATGATCCGTACAGTGTTTTTCCGACTCATCGTGGCGAATTTTGTTCCTGAGTGAGAAGCTGCGACGTACAATGGGAGTTCATTCTCCGGCTAAGTCACCCAAGTTGAGAACGAGCTTGGCGTTTCCATCTACAAGCTACTCATGACTCTGGCTCCAAAAACAACATCAATAAAGGACATCGTATTAAAACTGTGATGTCTTCGTGGATTTCCAGCAAACGTTGTTCACTGGTTAATTTTGGTGCGCGACGGTGACGAATATAGTTCTTGCTGCTGCTCTTGTTAATCACTCGTTGATCATTGGCGATAAAGGTGACACAGGTGATACTGTGATTGTTCAAGCGACAAAGAGTTAACAGTGTAATTTCGGAACTACAGCATGAACATTTTCACATTCATACAAAACACAGAAATTTCATCTTTTTCAATTTGAAAGAAATCTGTTTTTTTCTTATTTGGTTATTTTTGTTTCTCATTTCACTATCCAGGTGCGGAAAACTTAACAAGGTTGAGTATCAGTGAAGGTGGAAAAATCTTTTAGATCATGCTAGTTGCTTAAACTGTGCATTCATAGGGAGGCAACCCTGAATACTTGGAGGGCACCCACGTTTATAGGTTTTAACCATGGTTCTTTTTTTCTCAAATGTCATCTTTGATACTTTTCAGCGATATCGGAATGGCGAGCGTCGTTTAGTCAACCAATCTGGGTTCGTGATGCCATTGTGGTGCGTGTACAACATTTATGACTGTGCTATGTACAGACAATTGTTTGAACCTTTTATTTTTATGTCTGCAGAAAACATCAATGTTTTCGAGGCTTAGTTGTAGCTTAGAGGATAGAAATATATTATTTTTTTTGTTTTTCTGAACTCTTCTCCACCTTTCACTTATTGTATTTATAAGCTCGACGATTTCTACTTTTCTGCTTCATTTGCCATGATGCCTAAGTCGTTGTTGATATTCAGTATTCTTATGAATGCCATTTTTATAGTCATAGTTATACAGTCTTGTAGAATTATACAAGCAATGCATATGGGTTGATCCTCGCGCTACAGACTCGTCAAGCCTTGCATCCCTCCAGAGACGTTAAATTGCTACCAGTCTAAGCTAGCAGCACTGGCTCGATACATCGGTGGGCCTCCTTGAGCCATTGTAAAGGCTAAATATTCATTCATTCACCTCCAATGATTCTTAATGAACTCAGATGCATGGCGCATCCATCAGGGTTTGTTCAACGCTGAGAGCTTTATCCTTTATCCTTTTATCACGGAGTTGGGAGGATATTAATTTAGAACTTTGGAGAATTTTCCACTTTTTCAATGGATTTCACATTAATTAAAGGACATCAAACGAGCCTCTCCAGTATCGGCTGTTGTTCGCTGATGGACTTGAGCTTGCTGAGAAGTGAGTTGTTGGCACTAATGCACTGATCAGTGACGCTCTTGCTGCTAAATGATGAGCAGTCATCATCGGTGGGATTTGTATGGAATGTAGTGCTAGTGGTTGGGTTAATGCGAACATCCGTCCTTCTGGCTTGATGCCGTTGTTAGAAAGAACCAGCCATTTCGAATCCCTCTTTCTCACAATTCTCGACCGTGACGTTCTACAACTGGAGATGCATGCTAAGGAGGCAGTTTTACATTGTGGTGTGACCGGATCATGTGACATAATTTTAATCGTTTCTGAGCTTTGAGATTTTTGACAAGCAATTCGACTTCTGTGGCGTCATATCGGAACCCAAGTAGTTTTTCGAGCTAGTTAACGCATCAGCCGTAATTGTGGGAAGAAGTAACCCGCTCGTCGTCTGAATACCGATTCACGCTCTTTGGAATAAATTTCAAAATTTGTGAAGACTCGAAAATGCCGCATATTTTTGCTAGCAATCCAACTTTGGTTTATTAAATTTTTTTGCTGCTACTTAGTTTGTACTATAAAAGATTTGACGATAACAATAATTTTAATAGGCTCCACTAACAGAAGAAATTGCTTTCCGATGTTGCTGTGCTTCACTTCTTTCCGACTGTCTGTCGCCAGCACTGACGATTATCGTCAGTCCCTTGTTCTTTGCCTTAAGTCATTTTCATCATGTGGTTGATGATACACGGCAAGGAGTTACGCTCTCGCTTTCAATCTTTACAAGAGGTTTGTGCTTATTGTACTAAAGTGACGTTGTTTAGTTCATTTATTCACCTTATTTTACATGGCCCGTCTTCACATCTATCGAGCAAATCCCAGCATTTCCTGCGTTCGGTTCGGTTTGCTCGCATTCATAGTCTATAATGGTCTTTGAACGTTTAACATGTTGTTTCGGCTGCTGCTTAAGGATTTCGTGCTATTTATGAATGCCGCAAATGACGATCGAGTTGATTCTTGCAATCCGATAGCTGAACTGTCGTTTCTACATGGATTGGAGGAGCTTAAGTCTTATCTTTGCTGATCTGTGCCCACTAATATAGTAGCTAAATGGATCGATTTCCATTTGGAGCTTCCATTCGGCCTATAGGTTTAGGTTATTATATGTGCTACATTGTAAATGTAACTAACGAAAAGGCACTGGAAAAAAGTTGGTGGACGAACATCAAGCTGAAACCTTTGGTTTCTCTTCATTGTGAGTTCAAGTGACAGTTAAGCGAAACGAGGGTCGCTACCCAAGAAAGCCTCACTGTTTTATTGGGGTCTTTTTGGGTCATTAACTGCAGTATACAGAGGAGGGTTCACTTCGAAGTTAGCATTTTGATTTGGTGTGAATGAGCTGGAAATTTCCTATTGAATACCCTGACTAGCAGTAAGTAAATGGGAGTAATCTTTGTCTTCAAGCAGAGGTATATACGAGGTGGCGACCTTCCTTCGAATCCATAATGCCTGGCGATTGCTCAGTGACATCCGTAAAATGGTATGAGAAGATCACGTCAAGATGCGAGATGAGAAATTTTAATATTGGTGAGCAAGTTAGCAAGGAGCAATGCACTAAAAATGCACAATGCACTAAAACGCAGAACAGTGTGACTTGAACCGATGTGGATGATCGTTTTCATGTTTACATAGTTCGATAGGTTTTTCTGTTATTAGTTTCGGAAAGATATTCGAGAACATTATAGCGTTCCAATTCACCTACACTTACCTATTTGGTGCGTTTGCTACTTACTTGTTTTTGTCTACCGGTCATGCCTTGGCACCAATCGTGACTCATGCAATGTGCAATTCTTTAGGATTACCATTGTTCAAAGAAATCGGTATGTTTTATTAAATTAAGATGTTTTCGTATTTATTGAGCCTGAGACATATTTGAAATGACCCCTCTTTTTTATACCGTTTATGAGTCCTGAAGGATTTCATCCCGCGTTGCTTTAATGACACTTAAGATGGGGCGCATCTAGCGCAGTGGTTCGAGGCGCCCTACAATAAACCTGGGGTCGATCCTGGCGCCCTAGGCTCGCCAAGCCTTCCATCCTTCCGGGCTCTGTAAATTGGTACTAGACTTGTCTGGGAGAATAGCAGCAGTGGCTCAATACATCGTTAGGCCACCACGAGTCATTGCAAAAGGCCAGACATACATTCAGTCACTTTCAACGATGCTTAACGAAGTTGACTGTATACGCACGCTTTAGGGATTGATCAAAGCGGAGAGCTTTTTTTATAACTTTAATGTTTCATAATTACCTAAACCGTTCGCGATTGAAGGGATTGATTCCAAATCAAACTTTGAAAGAATAATACCGTCTTCAAGTTCGAATCGATGGAGCTCGAACCAACATGTTCATGGTGACCCGTATTAATTAAAATAAGAACGAACGCAACCTACAACTATGAACAACATACATGTTTTCCTAAAATGAAATTATGAGCTCATCAAGAGCTCATCAAACCACTGGTTGTTCCTTCGAGGGTCCTATTTCAAACAACGAAGCAATCCAGTAAAAAGGATAAATTTAACTCGAAAGACCGACTTTCTATAAACCTCGGCATAGATAGTTGATATATTTATCTATGTGGTCTTATAAACTGATCTTCTTAAGCTGACGCGAGGTTGGTACAGGTCTTCGTTGTCGTTGTCGCTGTTTTTGATGTTATTGATCGATGGCTGACGTTTCGGCCACTTCGCCATCCTCAGAGCCTGGACGTACTTTATGTTAGAATACTTTTTATTATTCGGTGGAAAAGAAGGTTAAAGTATTAATGAAGATCAAACTTTCAAATAGACGCCATATTGAACAGAAAGGCCACTCACCGTGATGTTGCGGGACTGGCCCACACGTAGTTCACGTGGAGTCGCGAGCAGGACACGCCCTGGGGTCAAAATATCATTTTATCATTTTGAAATAGGGCGCCAGGTCACGCGTGAAAGTGAGGCATTCGTCCTTCCGGTTCATCTTTGGATTTTTGAAATTTATCCAAAACGCCTCAAGAGTTTTGCGCGTTGATGTTTTTAATTCCTGCGCTAGGATCCGCACATTCACTTCAAAATCATCGCCGTTGTGCTTTTGTGCCCTATGCGTACCTAGAGGGGTGTTTAAACGGATTTTAGCTTTTCCATCTAGATGTTCTTTTATGCGGACACAAAGTGGTCTACCCGTTTCCCCGATATATTCCTCGCCGCATGCATTACATGAGATCAAGTATATTATACCTAAACTCATGCAATCTCCGTCTCTCCCGTTAGGACAGATCATACAGTTTTCTGAGCTGCACAAACGATCATAGAGACTGTTTCGAACTAACTGACGGTGTGGGGTATTGGGTGGGATGTCAATAATCGTTACGTAATTTTCAAAACCACTTTTTCTTAAGCACTTTCTAATGGCGTGACTTACTTCATTTGATATGAAGGGCAGCTTAAAGGGGATCCTACTTTCGTCTGAAATATTATTTTGGGAAACTACCCAACGTTTTCCTCCAACCCGAGTGGCCTCTACTTCGTTGCCATTGGATATGGCAATTTTTCGTGCCAGGTTTTGCGATTCCTTCCTTTCCTCTTCTCCTATACACACATTTTTAGCCGTACGTTACATATTTTTGATAAGTGCTTTTTTTGTTTCTACCTTTATAAAAGTTTTTTAAATTGTTCCTTGAATTAATTGAATTATTCCTAACTTTATAAAACGTAGGAAATTATACGAAGTATGCGGCTTACCGGAGAGCATCGAAATGAAATTGCTACGAATTTCATTGCGGTGCACACAAAACGAAATGTTTTCACTATTAAACAAATGTGTGTACAAAGAAAACCATTGTGCTCAGCATTTGGAGAGAAATCTTTGGAAGAGAATAGTAGCTGGGTCTAAATCGTTATGCGGAAAGATTCGGTGTGATATTAAGAGCAAGTTAAGGAAAAAGTTTGAAGATCTATCACGCCGCTCAAAAATGTCAAATGAAAGGACCACCGCTGGTCAAGCTCCAAGTAAAAACCCTGAAATAGACTGCGCACCAAGAACATCCAGAGTTACTGTGCTAGGAGGTATAACGCTTCCGGAAAATGTGCGTTCCTTGTTAGAATTGGGTCCGAGTTTTGCACCTAGTCAACACATTTCTAAGCAAATCCTGTGCAGGACCACGTTTAGTCTGCATGAACTTCAAGATCAGCTACGTTACAGGGTTAGGCTAGAAAGGTTAGGTAAAGTAGGCTCAAGAGGGGAAATACCACCAATACCCTTTCCCCGAAATTTCTTTAAACAAGAGCTACCAAGTAGCGATATTGACCCTACATTTCGTTTATTTTCGGACGAAATTCGCCGCATACTCAATCGCTACCAAAAACGAAAAAGAAGCTCAACCTCACAAACCAACAAAAAAGTGGTATGCGCCAGGTTAGAGGGCTCTTGAATTCAAAATCTGTTAGACTTTCTATTAGTGATAAAGGCGGAGAATTTGTAGTTCTTCCTAGTCAGTTGGGTATTAGGATAACAGAGGAGCACCTCAATGATGTTTCTCTCTATCGAACATCCTCTGAAAAGGAATACAGAAATCAATACCGAAAATTGAATCAAGAATGGGTCAGCACGGCAAAGGCCGCGGGTTTAGAGCCTTCAGTTATTTCTCGACTTAAGAACGAACACCCGATTTGCCCTTTTCTTTACTTGCTTATTAAAACAGATAAGCTTATTTCAATTGATGGTATTACGTCAACGAACCCATCATTATTTAGTTAGACCTATCATCAGTTGTATAGGCGGGCCAACGGATAGAATAACGTGGTTCCTAAACCTTATCCTGACCCATCTGCTAAAATTCATCCTAACCCATCTACCTAACACCAAAATATTTCTAGAACACCTAAAGCGCGCGAAACTAAACAGCACGCATATAATGGAGTCATTCGATGTTAGTTCACTTTATACTAACGTGTTCAATGACTCCACAATGCAAGCCATTCTCGAGTTGCTCGTAGAGCATGAAAAGAAAATAAAAATGCACGGCTTGTCGATTCCGCAACTAATGACCCTCTTAAAACAGTGTCTTAGTTGCTAAATCTTTAGGTGGTCTGGAAAATATTTTGCACAAATTAGAGGGTTGGCGATGGGGCAGCGTTTAGCACCAAGCCTTGCCATCGCTTTCATGTCTAAGGTGGAAGCTCCAGTCCTCGATCACCGACCCTTACTCTACTGTCGATACATAGACGACTGCTTCATCGTCTGTTCTACACAAGAACAGATGGATGAGTGCTTTGAATTATTAAACCGACAGTCAGAGTATATAAAATTTACACGAGAAAAACCTACCGAGAACTGGCTTCCATTCTTAAACATCCAAATAAAGCTCTCAGTAAGTGGCTATTTAACAAAATGGTGTCGCAAGCCAAGTAGTAAAAACATTCTAGTCCACTGCCTCTCCTCTCATCCTTCACACATGAAAAAGCACTTATCGAAAATATGTATCGTACGGCTAAAAATGGATGTACAGGAGAAGAGGAAAGAAAGGAATCGCGAAACCTGGCACGCAAAATTGCCATTTGCAATGGCTACGAAGTAGAAGCCATTCGGGTTAGAGGAAAACGTTGGGTAGTTTCCCAAAATAATATTTCAAACGAAAGTAGGATCTCCTTTAAGTTGCCCTTCATATCAAATGAAGTAAGTCACGCCATTAGAAAGTGCTTAAGAAAAAGTGGTTTTGAAAATTACGTAACGATTATTGACATCCCACCCAATACCCCACACCGTCAGTTAGTTCGAAACAGTCTCTATGATCGTTTGTGCAGCTCAGAAAACTGTATGATCTGTCCTAACGGGAAAGACGGGGATTGCATGAGTTTAGGTATAATATACTTGATCTCATGTAATGCATGCGGCGAGGAATATATCGGGGAAACGGGTAGACCACTTTGTGTCCGCATAAAAGAACATCTAGATGGAAAAGCTAAAATCCGTTTAAACACCCCTCTAGGTACGCATAGGGCACAAAAGCACAACGGCGATGATTTTGAAGTGAATATGCGGATCCTAGCGCAGGAATCAAAAACAATAACGCGCAAAACTCTTGAGGCGTTTTGGATAAATTTCAAAAATCCAAAGATGAACCGGAAGGACGAATGCCTCACTTTCACGCGTGACCTGGTGCCCTATTTCAAAATGATATTTTGACCCCTCGCGACTCCACGTGAACTACGTGTGGGCCAGTCCCGCACGTAACATCACGGTGAGTGGCCTTTCTGTTCAATATGGCGTCTATTTGAAAGTTTGATCTTCATTAATACTTTAACTTTCTTTTTCCACTTGGGGGACGAAGGAGGAAGGCGAAATCGCCGAAACGTCAGCCATCGACCAACAACACCAACAGCAACAACAACGAAGATCTATACCAACCTCGTATTAACTTAATAAGTTCAATATGTATTATTTCTTGATAAGCTTGCACGAGGTTGATAAATATATTTATTTTCGGCTAACGTTTCGACGTCTTCTTCTTCCTCAGAGCTGGTGATCCGAGTCGATGGTCCATGCTTGTTGTTCGCCTCGACGTTGCGTCTTCGCCTTCGTGTCGAGCCAGATCTTCCTCAGTGAGCCATCTTCTCGAATCGAAATATTAATAAGTTCAGTTTGTAAGGTCATATAAATAAATATATCGACTGTCTATGCCGAAGTTTATAGAAAATCGGTCCTTTTATTAAGAGATGTTCCACTAAGAAGGATTCATAGCAACTGGTAGTTAGTATTCCCCAGTGCACGTGCTGCAGAAATTGTCGGCGTTCCTTCAGAAGTTTTAGCAGTTTCACTTTGTTTTTTTTTCATTGGAAAGCTTAGTTCCAAATGAATTCAAGATTGAAAGAATGTCTTACAGAGATTTCTGTGTAATTGCTAGGCGATAGAGTAGATTCTTTCTTATGAAACTCTATGAAGATCTCCATATCACTACTCTGTTGTTAGAGAAATATTACTTTGATTTAGGAATAACAACGATGTTGGACCATGGGTTTTAAATTCTATAACTTGACTTTTGGCAAAACTTTATTAACTGACATAAAAACGTTTAAATTTACACATTTTTGCCCGCAAAGTGCAAACTTTTTACTTCATCGGTATAAATTTTGGTCCGCATTCGGTTAATCATTCTAATGAGTTTTTGGTAGCGTTTTCGTTGCTCAAGATTTTTTTTACCATCGAAGTAGATCTGAAAGTTCTACAAGAAATTTTAACTGGTTGTCGATTGGTCGCTAGGTGAGAGAGGCAGAGGTTGGTAGTCCATCTAGTTCAAGTTTGCGGCATTAGTTATGCAACGTATGC